CTAGCTCGAATTCGTGTGCCAACTAGGAAGTGATCTGAATCAATATTGGCGCCTCGATAGGTGCGGACATCCATTAGGTTTGAGAAGTGTCTAGCATCTATGATCACATGATCAATTTGGTTGTTCGTTAGTCCATCAGGTGAGGTCCAAGTCCACATATGTATTTTTTTGTGTAGAAAACATGTGCTTCCTATGATCATGTTCTTTGCGGTTGCGAAGGTGACTGTTTGATGTCCATTCGAATTGGTATCATTATGAAGACTATATTTACCGATGTGCGGTAGATATATTTCTTCCCTCCGTATGTAATGTAAATTCAGATTTCTGATTTAGAAAGCACAGATTAAAGCAGAAATCTGAATTGTGTTTCGAAACTATTTTACGGATGAAAAATATAAGTTTACATAGTGTTTCCACTTTTGAAACAAAGCTAATCAAAATTTATGGTTATGTACCGAATATCCGAAGAATATAATACTGTCATATGTCAAAATTAAATATTAAAATTTTTACCTTTTTGAAATATTAATTAAATTTTTGAAAATTACTTGATAAATTTATAGACAATAATGAAAAATGTCTATTATTACTTTGAAAAATTTTAACAAAAAGTGCCTTGTATCACTGGCTGATGTATTTCCTTTAAAAGTTTTTGGGATTGGAACTAGATCCAAAACACTGCAAAGTAACACAAATGCGTCTCACTTAAGCTTCAAGATGGTCTGAAATGACCAGGGAAAACAAATACGCGATTATTTGAAGGTGGGCACTAAATTCGGGAATCGGATTATCTTGTTGCAATCTTCAAAAGCTCGGACACTCAAGTTCTTGCTTAAAACAATGTAGGTCTCTTAAATAGCTGTAACGCTGTTTTTCAAATGTCCCAAATTGCACACAACACATACAATAAATCGGTGATTATTTCAACATAACTGCCACATTGCCTTTGATTAATTTCCCCTCTCCACAATATAAATTTTGCCGGCTTTTTTAGATTGCACACGCCGCATCTTTTTCTTTTAAGATTACAATCCTAACTTTCACTTGAACTATAAATTTAACTGCTACAATACACTATATTTCCATAACAAAAACGAAAAACCATTACGAATTTCACAATCAAAAAAATATCATTAAAATTATTATAGACAAACCAGAAATGTTTATATTTTATCAATCCCAATGACGCAAAAAAATGAAACAAATGTTTACGTCCCAAACACTTAATCTCAAAATCCGATACCGAATGCTGAAATGTTACGTTTACAGCATCTTACTATATGGAATGGAGGCCTGGACCTTCAAATCAACTCACTCAGGCGTTTGGAAAGTTTTGAAATGTGGTTATTTCGAAGGATGCTGAAAGTCCCCTGGACAGCGCATATGAGCAAACGAGCAGGTCCTACACAAGATGGGTACCGACAGAGAACTCTTAAAAATAATGAAAACACGGAAAACCTCATATTTGGGACACATACAGAAATGAGAAATACCAGCTACTGCAGCTTCTTATAGAGGGGAAGTAGAAGGAAAACGTGGTCCTGGTAGACGGCAGGCGTCCTGGTTGAAGAACATTCGTGAGTTGACTGGTTTGGATTCTCGATCTTAATAAGAAAAGCCAGGGACAGAAATGATTTTGCTGAGGTTATCGCCAACCTTCATTGAAGACGGCACCCAAAGAAGAAGAATGACGCAAAAGGATTGAGAAAATATTTCGATGTTTTAACATATACAACGTGATTTGAAATGCTACAATCTGCAACTTTCCTCGATTAATTCTTTTTGCTGGTGTCAATTTCCAAATGTTTAAAGGTATTTATACGTTTTTATGTGAGTGTAATGTTCTTCGTTATTCTTAAATTGTTGATTTTCCAACTTTTGATTTAATCTATTTCTGTTTAATTCTCTCAAGCTTTCTTGTACTAAGCTGATGGGGTTATACCTCTTCTAAATTACTTTCTACCTTTCATTTCTTTCATTTCTTCTTCAGATTTATTTACTACAAATGGGATCTTAGCTTTTATTAAGTGATGATCACTTCCACAGGTAGCTCCTCTCAATACTCGTACAACTTGTACCGGGTGGTCCAATAAGCCGATCGCTCGGCTATATATCAGAAACTATTCATGTTATAACTTTAGGAGAAAAAATTTCTTAGTAAAAATGGCCAAGAGAAATCGGTGGAAATAACTTTCAAGTTTCTGGTTTAACCGCTAGGGGGCGTAACCTGTGAAGAAAACTTTAAAAAATCAGTTTTTTTAGAAATATGCCCAATTATACCAAGGTTTAAATAAGTAAACTAGAAAGAGGCCTTAATTCTTCACAAAGTTGTTCAACTACTTTTTTTTATTTTTTAAATAAAGGGTGGGGGAGAGTGGGGAAGTATTTGTGGATAAATACCTATAACTTTGGATTGGATTAACCGATTTTAACGAAATTAGTGTCATTAGAAAAAGTGTGGATAAATTAATTTACATCTACTATAAAATAATTGCATTTAGTTTTAATTGTCATAGGTAGAGGGTACTTTCGAATAGAAACAATTAAAATTCGTGTTTCTTTAAAATGTTTAATGGAAACACCTATTTATTGTAAAGTATAATGGAACTGGATTAAATTCGTAACAAAATGGTGCAAACCGCATGTTAATATCTTTTGTCGAACTCGAGATATGAATAAAAACGCATAAACATAAGTAAGTATAGTATTGACTCACCCTGTATTATAAATTAAATTAAAAAGTCAGTAGGTACTTTCAAATTTTTTTATGGCAAAACAATCTTAATATTGATACCTATTTTGACCATTGTTATTTTATATGATTAAAAATAGTTTTTTCGAAAGTGTTATAATATAGATATTATAATCCGAATTGTAGATTGCACTTTTTTCAATAGATATTAATATTGGTAATATTAGTACTTAATTATTAGTACTAATAATCCGTGATGAGTATATCAAATTCAGAATTGAAATTCTGCATTTGTGGAGTTTATTTCGAATGTCACCAAAATGCCGCTATTGTTTCACGTATTATATTCTGTAAGATATCCTGACAGGAGACATTATGGCAAAGAAGTTTTTGAAGGAAAGGTAAGAAGATTAAGAGGAACTGATAGTTTTCATCGTCCTTGTATTAAACAATGTAGTAGAGGTATGACCGAAGATAATTAAATCAATGTTCTTGCTTTAATTCAACAGAATCCACATATAAGTAGTCTGCAAATCTCTATAGAATTAAACATACCTAAAACTACTGTTCTAAGGATTTTAAAACATCACAGGTTGGTTTTTCATATTATAAAGTGAAAGTTTAGGTCAGAAACTTGGAATTCCCTTTAAACTTTAGATTCAACTGTTATTTTAATATTCCGATAAAAACGGCAACACGGCGCTTTTGTCCTTTTATCCGTTTCTTAAAAATACTTATGCACGATTTATCTTGTGAAACAAATGTAGATTTTTCAAAATTTTTGAGTTTTAGTAAATATAGTGGTTTCTTTTTCACCAATATTTACACGAGAGAGCTTTTGATGCAAGGCTGGATTACTGCAATTGGATGTTAGGTCTGCTAGAAGAACAATCGCGTATCATGTCAAAGATTTTGTGAACAGACGAGGCTACGTTTAATAGTGCCGGTGATGTTAATCTGCATAATATGCATGATTGGGCTAAAGAAAATCTGCATTTAATACATGAGGTGCAGGTTCAAGGTAAATGGAATCTTAATGTTTGGTGTGGTATAGTTGATGGAAAGATCGTAGGTCCATATTTCTTTGATATAACTTTAAATCGCGAAAAATATTTGGATTTTCTGGAAAATCAGTTTCCTGTTGTATTGGAAGATATTTCCTTACAAACAAAAAGAGATATGATATTACAACATGACGGGTATCCTGCGCACTTTTCCAGACGGGTTTGAGATTATTTGTATGCAAGTTATCCAAATAAATGGATTGGAAGGGGAATCTCCAGACCTAACATATCTGGACTTTTATCTGTGGGGCAGATTGAAAGATTTAGTGTACTAAACTTGACCAACCACGCGAGATGATACAGCTCATTATAAACGCAATAAATAGTACCTATATCAACAGCTGAGATTAAAGCAGCTATTATGTCTACGAGCGAAAGATTACATCTTTGTGTGGACAATGATGGAAAATAATTTGAACATTTAATTGGACATTCAGTTTTAATGACCGAGATGTTTGATGATCTTTAACATATTTAATTTTAAATTATAATAAAGGGTGAGTCAATACTATACTTATTTATGTTTATGCGTTTTTATTCATATTTCGAGTTCAATAAAAGCTATCAACATACGGTTTGCGCCATTTTGTTACGACTTTAATCCAGTTCCATTATAATTTACAATAAATAGGTATATCCATTAAACATGTTGAAAAAAAATAAGTTTTAAATTTTTCTATTCAAAAGTAACCTCTACCCATGATAATTAAAACTAACTTCAACTGTTTTTATAGTAGATATAAATTAAATCATCCATACTGTTTCTAATGACACTAATTTCGTTAAAATCGGTTAATTCAAACCAAAATTATAGGTATTTATCCACAAATAATTTCCCACTCTCCCCCACCCTTTATTTAAAAAAATAAAAAAAGTACTTGAACAACTTTGTGCGGAATTTAGGCCTCTTTCTAGTTTACTTATTTAACACTTGGTATAATTGGGCATATTTCACAAAAAACTGGTTTTCAAATTTTTCTTCACAGGTTACGCCCCCTAGCGGTTAACCCAGAAACTTGAAAGTTATTTCCAGCGATTTGTCTTGACCACTTTTACTAAGGAATTTTTGCTCCTAAAGTTATAACATGAATAGTTTCTGATATATAGCCGAGAGATCGGCTTATTGGACCACCCGGTACAATCATATTTGTGTTTTGTCGTATAATTATGTAGTCTATGATTAATATATGAAAGATGTATGTACACATATATATATATATTAATGTAAATTTTATTTTTTCTAGATGTCATCGTTTCCATGTTGGTTAACTACAATTCTTCTTATTATAAGCATCATATATCTGGTTGTTTATAAATATCTCACAAGAAACTTCGGTTATTGGAAAAACAAAAATGTTAAATTCGTAAAACCAATTCCTTTCTTTGGTAACTTTTATAATGTACTAACATTTAAAACAACCACCCAAGAGCATATAAAGAACATTTGGGATCAAATTGATGCACCGTATTTTGGATTATTCATCTTGGATGAACCAGTGTTGGTTTTAAAATCTCCTAAATTAATTAAAGATGTTTTACTTAAGGATGCTTCAATTTTTTGTAATAGAAGAGTTGCCACTCCTTCTCATCGAAACATGAAACATGGATTATTTTTCTTAAAAGACCAGAATTGGAGAAAAATGAGAACAACATTCACACCACTGTTTACTAGCGGTATGATTAAACAATTGCAGCCGCATCTAACAGAAATTAATAAGGTAATGATTAAATATTTGAATGAAAATTGTGGAGTTATAGAAGTTTCAAAAGTTGGTGGTAATTTTGCCACGGAATTTTTAGCTAGATGTTTCTACGAAGCAAATCCACACTGTTTTGATAATGAAGGGTCAGGTTTTAGTAAATATATAAATAAAATGTTTGACTTTAACTTAAGGAATGGGATAATTCAGAATTTATATTTTATAAAGCCATCCTGGGTAGCTGCTTTAAAGTTAAATTTAATTGGAGATAGCGCTATAAGTTTCTTTGAAGGTGTTTTTAAAGATTCAATGGCGACGAGGCAATACTACGATGGTAAGCCACAGAACTTGGTTGATGTAGCAAATAGAGCGGTATTGGAAGCGAAAAATAGTAAAGAAGATACATTGGGTAAGCTGCTAATAATTTTTATAAAAGATAAAAAGGGGAAAAATGAAAAATATTTACTCACAATATTGGTTTTATTGTAACTAACACAACTAGTCTAGCCTTTACAAATTCAGTTCATCATCAAGCTCTCATTAATAAGTTACTTTAATATTAAAAGTAGATTTTTTTTAATTAATATAGGTTAAATATAAAGTATGACAATACTAAGCCTATAATAAAAAAATGTAATATAATAATTAAAGTATATTGCAAGTATACTTACATAACGACACAAGGATTTACAGATAATCAATATACTAAATAGATTAATGTTTGACAAGACTGTGTTATCTAAGGAACCAAATTTTTATACATAGATGCAAGGGCAGTGCCTTGAGGAAAAACAATTTGCCTTTGTGTTTACATTAACACAATTTGCCTCTGTTTGATCTTGATGCCGCTTTAGGATATTTTGCGCGTTAAATAAACAGGAATATTTCCATTTGGGCTTTGTTTATACCGGGTTGGGCGGATGTCTTATAGCGGCTTCCCACGGTCGGCGATATTGCGGACGTAAGCGGACCAGCCCGCACCACGCACCGTGGGAAAGGTCTCGTCCGTAGTAGCAGAGGTACGTCCGTGCTGGTGCGTCCTATCCATCTAGAGTCGGTAACATCAAAGGTGTCGGTACATGCTTGTGCTCGCGATCCTAGCGCGTCTGTGTTTTAACAGACAACTGCAAGTCAGAAGTTTTTCATTCGCTGACACGAGTAGTTGTCTGTAGTGTTGTCAAAGTTGTTTTGCAGTTTTTTGGTAAAAAATGGATTGGACAAACGAAGTTATTTTTGATTTTTTAAATTTGTATCAAAATGAAACAAATTTATGGAATTCTACGGCACCAGAGCATAAGAAACGGAACCGATATATACGATGTATGGAACCGAATAAAAAATCAATTGAAGAATAGTACTATTTCGATTAAAGAATTAAAAAAGAAGAGAAATAATTTAATGCCGACATACAAAAGGCAAAAAGTGAAAGTTGGAGAATCGATGGGAACTGGAAGTGGATCTGATGATGTTTACAAGCCTGAGTGGCCTTTTTATTATATAATCAAAACAATACTGTCACGGACCTACACAGACTGTCACGGACCGCAGGAAGAGCTATGTCTGCGGTGCGTTGTTCGTCCGTGCTGATCGGCTGTCCGCGATGATCGGAGAATCGCCGATCGTGGGAAGCCACTATTACTCGGCAATGGAACACGATAGGTGGTTTCAGGTGAAGTCAGGTCATTGTTTAGTCCGGATTTTTTCTTTTTTAAATTCGTAATGATTTTTCGTTATCGTTTTTTGTTATGGGAATTCAGTAATGTAAAGTGAAGTGTAGTTCGCAGTTTGTAGTAGAGGTGATTTGAATTTGAAAGAGATAGCTTTCGGCGTGTAGTCTTAAAAGCTGTCTGTAAAACCTGCCAAAAAAAATTTGTTTTTTGGCAGTTATTGTTGAATTTATCACCGATTGTTTATGATGTGCCCTTGATGAGGGAGTAGTAAGAAGGTGTTTCCAACAATTTGAGAGGGCCACTGGGTTTTAAGAAGGAATTTAGTGGTCGAGTTTTGAAGATTGCAGTTTGTTGTCATCCAGGATAATCCGAAGCCCAAATCAGTATCCAACTTCCCAAGATTTGTCCATTTTTACGTTCCATGGTCACCCTAGACTATTTACCACTTTGTGTGAAAACACAGTTGTAAGTTGTTTGCAGTTTTTTTTGATTCAATTATCCAATCCCAAAAATTTTCTCAAAGGAATAAACCAACCAGTGATACTAGGTACTTTTTATTAATATTATTCAAAGTAAAAATAAACAATTTTTCATTAATAGAGTAATTTGCTTTTATGACAAACTAAAAAATTATAAATTAATAAAATTATGTTTTATGATTAGCTAATTGTCATATTAGTCCTATTTTAAATAAAATTAACAATAATTAAAATCAGTTTTTCAAAAAGGTTTGATATTTCCTTTCGACATATCGCACCCACGGTGCAATAACGTCACTTATGCAATTTTTGTCAAAACTAAACTGAGTATAAGAAAATACTTCTAATCCACCTCTTTACTTGGTGCATTATTGTCATTTGTGTAGTACGTATAGTTTCCTCTTGGGGGCATTTGTGTCGTTACGTTATTGGGAGAATCTGGGCGGTACTAAGAGAAAAAACGTTACATTGGTCAGTTTATCAGTTGTGCGCGGCCTTCCGCACGAGAAGCAGTCTCCTGCAGCTACACCGTTACTAGGATAATTGTGACGATTGATGTTTATGTTTTGGAGCAATAACGACACTTGTGCAGTGTCCTGGAGCCATAACGTTACTACTAAGGTAACTGTGATAATTTATTTTTAAGTTTTGGAGCAATAACGACACTTGTGTAGTTAAGAAGTGACGTTGTTTCCCCAAACTTTGTATTTTTTGGTTTAAATGGTTTTTGGTTACTTATTTGTTATGATTCCGAGGAACAAGTAGCACTGTCTAACCTAGATGACCCAACAACAACTTCTCCAGAGCAGGATGCTACTACTTTAGCCAACCCCGGAAGCTCTCATTCTGCTTTTTTGTCATTAATAGAACGTATGAACAAGAGGGTATTTACTTCAAAATAAGCGATTTCTCTGGTACTAATTCAGGAGATGAATACAGGCCTGAAACTCGTTTAAGATCGTCTTCATCCAGTAGCTCCAGTAGCAGCTCTAGCAGTAGCTGCAATAGCAGTTTCAGTGGCAGTTTGAGTAGCAGTTCCAATGATACTCCTACATAACAAAATAATTCTACTGGGAATCTTATTCACGAGCATAACCAAACAATCAGCGCAATCTATAATTAAATAGAGAGGCAGAAAACAGACTCGTAATTAAAAAAAAACTGGAAAAAGAATGTTACTAAGCGATTGAAAAACTCTGGTCAAACATATATCTCAGTAAAGAAAAAAAAACTAAATCAAGGTAAGACAATAGGAGCTACATATTCTCAAATTGTCGGTTGTCCTGTGCTGCAAAATTTTCTGAACAAAAAAGGACCGAAATCTTTAAATCTTATTGGAATATAAAGAGTATAGAGAGACAACGTGGTTTTTAAACGTTTGTGCTAGAACAATAAAATATGCTTACCGCCGCAAAAGACTAACAAAAAGTATAACAGAAAAAAAAAAACACTGCATATTACTTATTTAATCAGATTAAAGAAATTCGTGTCTGCAAAACTTTTCTGATCAACATTTTGGTTATCACACAACGGATTATAAGGACTATTATCGACGGCAAAGCTCAGAATAATGGCTTAATTCTACCTGATCAACGAGGAAAACACGGAAAACAATGTTTAAAACATAAAGTTATACAAGCAGTAAAGGATCGTATAGAATTAATTCCAAGGGTTGAGAGTCATTATCTCAGGGATAGTACTCGCAGACAATTTATTGATGGAGGTTTAACAGTGGCAGAATTACGTAGAAATTATTCCGAAATTGAGAAACAACAAAACAAGCCTATTGTGAAATACGACACTTATTTACGGATTTTCACCAAGATTTTAAGATTGGGACAGACAGGGATATGAAAAGATATCATGAACCTGACAAACAACACAATTGTTTTCACCTATGACTTACAAGCGGTGTTACCATGTCCTGTTAGCAAATCAAACTCTTTTTATTACAAAATAAGATTAACTTATTTTACTTTAATGTTATCTAATGTAAGCAAGCAAGACACAACCTGTTATTTTTGGCATGAAGAATTTGCCAATAGAGGAGCCATCGTAATAGGGTCGTGTGTGTATAAATACTTAGAGATACTGCATTTAAAAAACCAGGTTGCGATAACCATAACCAGGTTGTCATTATTTACTTTGATAATTGCTGTGGTCAGCAAAAAATGTTTGTTTTTGCAATGTACTACTATGCAGTGAGTCGCTTAAATATTAACTCCATTTAACACAACTTCTAGATTTGAGGCCATAGGCAGAATGAAGGTGATACAGTTCACTCAGTCAAAAAAATCTGTAACTACAGCTAAAAATGCTGAACGTATTTACGTTCCCGGATCAATACATTTCCCGAATTCGTGAAACCAAAATGACTGGCGAACCGTTTGTGGCAAAGAAAAGGAACTTAAAAGATTTCTTCGATTTGAAATCACTTGAAGCGAACATTAACTTTAATATGAACCTAATCAAGACAGGTAACATTACAAGTGTTAGATTTTACAAAAAATTCTGAAAATTGCCAATATCAAACCACATATAAAACTGAAATTTGGGAGAACTCAAAAGCTATTGTTTAACATAAAAAATTACGCGGCAATAGAGGCAATCAAAGAATAGACCAAATTACCTTGAAGTAAGCTTACAACAACAATACAATCAATTTCTGATTAACTGCAATTATTGAAGGCTAATCTCGTGCCAAGGTATTATGAAAGTTTTTATAATTTAACTTAAATTTTGTTTATTAATAGAAAACTTAATATGTAGAATTTATATATTGTGTTACACTTTTTTACTATTTTAATAAATATTTTTTTAGAAATGTATGATTTTGTGTTTTATTGATTTTGATATAATTGACAGATATAATATTTTCTAGACTCATATAATAATAATTATATATTTTTATAATAATAATTAGTAAGATACTTACTTTTAGTTGTAATTTAAATATTATCATTTTATTTTTTTACTGAAAAAGAACTTTACACTGTAATACAATGTATAAAAGTATATTTCGAAGTGGTTAAAGAATTTAAATATCTAGGAGCAACAATCACAAATGACAACAAATTAGAGCGAGAAGTTGAAACGAGAATAATGGCAGGAAACAGATCTTTCTTTGCAATGCAACATCTAATGCAGTCAAAAGTTCTTTCACGAGGTACAAAAATCCGGATATATAAGACCATAATACGACCAGTATTATGGTCTTGCATATGGAAGCGAAACGTGGATGCTAACAAAAAGAGAAGTAAATAAATTGCTGGTGTAGGAACGTAAAATTCTTCGAATGATATATGGCCCTTGCAGAGACAGCGTCACAAACGAATGGAGGGGCAGAAACAATAAAGAGCTAGAGTCTCTATTCGGAAAAGAAAATCTAGTCAGATATATAAAGGCAAATAGACTTAGATGAGCAGGGCATGTGATACGCAGTATCGACATTCGCCTTATAAACAATGTGTTCTGGGAAAGGCCAGATGGAAGAAGGTCTGTAGGGCGGCCTAGAAAAAGGTGGAAAGATGCAGTCAAGATCTAGAGAAAATGGAAGTGCGACAAAGGGAACTACTGGCACAGGACCGACAAACATGGAAGGCAATAGTAAGCGGAGCAAAGACTCACGAAAAGTTGTAGTGACATTGATGATGATGATGAATGTAATATAATGTTGAATTTTCAAACGCTTCTCCTGAAAAATTACATCAGATCCATAGGTGACGTTATATCACCGTAATTGCGACGTCACAGTCAGTATTATCCTTTTCTGACATTTGATACATAACCACCATAATTTTGAATTGTTTTGTTTAAAGGTTCACCTCAATGTAAGCTCCGTTGAAAAATTTGGATATTTTTCATTTCTAATAAAAATTTAAATTCCTGCAAGTATCGCCCAACGTCGGTTGATTACAAACACAGTAGATTACAAAGAGGTAAACAAAGCTATCAGAAGGAATATCAAGGAATATAAAAGGAGCGTACAGGAAGAAAAAATAGAAAAAGCAATGGAACAAAATAAAAACATGAAGTGCGTTAAAACCACAGTTGGAACCATACAAATTAATGGTATAAAGAACAAAGAAGGTACAGAGACCAATAATATAGAAGAAATCATACAGAAAACACAAGAATATTATAAAAACCTCTACCATACAAAACAGAAACCAACCCAAGAAATCTTTAAGCAACTGCAAATAAAAAAATGTTAATTCCAAATTACAACCAGAAATCAGTAAGAACGAGATAAGAAGAGCACTCAAAGAGATGAAGAATAATAAATCGCCAGGAAAAGACGGGGTGACTGTAAAATGCTAAAACATGGTGGGAAAACAACTAGAAAGTTTTGTACATACTTATGAATAAAATACTAATGACAAAACAAATACCCAACGGTTGAAACGAAGCAATAACACTGTTACTATTTAAGAAAGGAGATAAAAGGGATCTAAAGAATTACAGACCCATAACTTTACTAAATGTGATGTACAAACTAATAACCAAAATATTAACAAATAGATTAACAACTAAATTAGATGGATACCAGGCAAGAGAACAAGCCGGATTTAGAAAGAGCTTCAGTACAAGTGACCACCTTTTAACGATGAAGATTTTAATCGAAAAAACTAACAAATATCATATCCCGCTATACATGGCATTTATTGACTTCGAGAAGGCATTTGATAGTGTGGAACACTGGGCAGTACAGAATTCCCTACAAAACAGCAGAATAGACTACCGATATACCGACTTAATTACAAATATATACAACAAGGCAACAACAACTATTAAGTTAATGAAACAAACGGAGCCTATTAAAATAAACCGAGGAGTAAGACAAGGAGATACCATCTCGCCCAAGCTATTCAACCAAGCGCTAGAAGATGTTTTCAAACGACTACACTGGGATGGCTTGGGAATTAACATAAACGGGCAAAATCTGAATCATTTACGATATGCTGATGATATTGTATTATTAACAGAAAAAAGTGAAGAATTACAAAGAATGATGGAAGAACTAGATAGAGAATCGACAAAAATTAGACTCAAGATGAATTACAGTAAAACAAAAACCATGACTAATCAACCAGAAGAACTAACAATTACAGTGGCACAAACAGGAATAGAACAAGTAAAAGAGTATATAGCCAAAAGAGTATAGGCCAAATCACTAAATTAAATAAAGAAAATGAGACCGAAGAAATAAAGAGAAGAATAAGATTGGCCTGGGCATCATTCAGAAAACTGTCTTATATTCTAAAGAATTCAAAATACCCCCAATACCTAAAAACGAGAGTCTTCAATCAATGTATACTCCTGTCCTCACATATGGCTCTCAGACATGGACGTTTACAAAGGAAAATATGGAAAAAATAGCAAAGACAGAAAGATTCATGGAAAGACAAATGCTGAACATTAAACTATCAGACAGAAAAAGAAACGAATGGATCCGTAATAAAACAAAAGTGACAGATATCTCAACCCAAGTAGCAAAGCTTAAATGGAAGTTCGCCGGACACACCCTAAGGCAGAAAGATGAAAGATGGACTAAGACAATTATACATTGGAGACCATGGAATCACAAACGAAAAAGGGAAAGGCCACAAATGCGATGGTCAGATGACCTGAAGAATCACGCCGGGTCAAAATGGATGCAAATTGCCCAATATAGAGAGGCATGGAAGAAGGAGGAGGAGGCCTATATCCAAGGATGGATGTTTAGGGCTGTATAGATAGATAGATAGATCGCCCAACGTCTGGAGCTTGTTATAAGTTGTTACCACTGTCGCCCAACAGATCTGGGAAAAAAAATAGGAAAAATATGTGGCACCGTTCTGTATCTTGGCCAGAATATATTCTAAAATTTAATATAAAAAGTAGGAACTTTTAAATATTTCCCAGAATGTTTTAAATTTGAAACATGTAGTTCTATTTGTTTTTCTTATTACCTATGGATGAATGTATTTTTTTAATTAATTGATGTATTTGGATCTATTTTAAGATATTACAAAAATTTTCTTGTAACAAAAATATTTATTTGAAAAAATGCTTATTTTGGAAATTACCTACAGTCGTAAGATTGAATATTCTTTATTATTTGACATTTCAACCTCCAGCTCAGAAATCTTTATCAAAAATAAAAACGACTTGCGAGCTGTAACTTAGGCCTTAACTAAAGTAATTTCAACATAATTTTGGTTATCAAAATATACTAATTAGGTATTACAAGTATTAATATATTGATTGCAGAATTTGAAATGATCATGTCCAATGCCTTACTGTTCTTAATAGCTGGACGGGACACAACAAGTACAATTATAAATTTTACCTTGTACGAGCTTGCTATGAACCAGGAAGTACAAAACACACTAAGGAACCAAATACAAATTAATTTTAAAAAGTATGGAGAATTTTCCTATGAGGCGGTTCAGGAAAACAAATATTTAGAAATGTGTATTCAAGGTAAGAATTTGCGTATTACTTATACATATTTGGCATAATGTTTCATACGTGGTTACATTTATACATATTTTTATAATTTAAAGGCAAATTTTACAACTTTGAATTGTGAATTATGAGCGTTTCCTACTATAAATCTCTAACTTAAAGATAGGCAGGCGTTCTCATTAATGCCTACTTCTCACTTAACTATATTTTATTAACCACATCTACCACTAACGGTTATTAGCGGGAGGACAAAAGACAATAATTACAATATAAAATTTAAAATTAAATACTATTTCAGTTGGGTTGATGTTAATTAAAGATTAAAGTTATCCAATTTTAAGATATCTAATAAGCCACGAAGAAATAGAAAGAGCAGTAAACTAAATAAAAAGGAATAAAGCTCCTGGAAGCGATGGAATCCCAGCAGAAATGCTGAAGGAAGGCGGAGAAGAAGCCATCACTTATCTAAAAATACTATTTAATAAATGTATATTCGAAGGCAACATCCCAAACAACGGAATACTGCTAAAACAATACTAATACACAAAAAGGGAAACACCACAGACCTGAAAAATTATCGACCAATTTCTCTTCTTTCACAACTTTACAAAACCTTTACAAAGATTATTACAAACAGGTTAACAATTAAATTTGACTAATATCAACCAGTAGGACAAGCCGCATTGAGAAAAGGGTACAGCACCTGTGACCATTTATACAGGGTGTCTTTTAATTAATTGGACATAAGCTAATGGGTGATAGCTGACATCAAAATAAAGCGTTTGAGCTTAAATTACTTACGAAAAATGTTGCTAGTTTTCGTTCTACAGGGAGATTCATTAATATTTTTTTATATTATTTTTATGGATATATTGAAAACTATTTAACCGATTTAAGTGAAATTTGGTATTTTGCTATTATTTAGTATGCTTAATAAGAAAATGATATTTGTTTTGCCATTGACACTAGGTGGCGCCACCTACTGTTACATTGGTTCATGAATGGGGCCATAATTTTTTTGTCCACCCAGTATAAACATTCTAGGTAAAAAAAACATGAAATAACATTCAATTCTACACAAAAAAGGTATTCAAAACAAGTATGAACTTAATGACAACGTCAAGACGTAACTACGAATTTATTTATTATTAGTTGTCAAAGGTAACTACGAATTTATTTATTATTAGTTGTCAAAGTGCTATTAAGTTTTTTATAAACCACTTAAGAAAAGGAAAAATGCCACGTCATAGTGAATTTTCTAATGTAGATATGCGCGATATGATCTGTTTTTATGCCCAGGAAAATTTTTGTTCTCGTAAAGCAGCTGAACTCTATTTCGAACTTTATCCCAATAGAAGGCAACTAAACCATAAAACTATTAGATCATTGTTCGACAGATTAGGCGAAACAGGGTCATTTCATCCCAAAAACAGGAATGCTGGAAGACCGAGAGTAATTGATGCGGATATGGAGGATGAAATTGTTGTGCGTGTTGCAGAAGATCCAGAAACCAGTACAAGGCTTATTTCTGCGGCCACTGGTATAAGCAAATCTACTGTGTCAAGAATAATACGGACAGAAAATCTGTATCCGTATCGTTTTACTCCCGTACAGAATCTTTTACCACAGGATTTTTCCAGCAAAGCTCCGATTTAGTCAGTTTATGATGGGGCGGCATTTAGACTTTCCAATGTTTTATAATAAAATTTTATTTACCGATGAAGCCACATTTACTAGAAGGGGTGTATTTAACTGGCACAATAGCCATACCTACGCGACAGAAAATCCTCATGCATTTCAAGAACATCATTTTCAACACGAGTTTTCCATAAATATCTGGTGTGGCATATTTGGGGATTGTATTGTAGGACCATTCGAATTACCAACTAGGCTTGACGGAGTAACGTATCTAAATTTTTTGATAAAAGATTTACCAACTCTTTTAGAAGACATACCTCTAAATTTGAGACGGAACTCTTGGTACATGCATGATGGTGCACCACCACATTATAGTCTAGAAGTTAGAAATTATCTAGATGAAATTTATCCTCAAAGGTGGATTGGTAGAGGTAGTGTATACCCATGACCAGCACGCAGTCCCGAACTAAATCCCCTAGACTTTCACTTGTGGGGCTACCTAAAGTCACTTGTTTATAAAAAAAATAAATAACCGTCAAGAGTTATGGCAAAATATTGTAGAGGGAGTCAACGTAATTAGGACCCAAAGAAACTCATTATTTAAAATAACGACAAAACTTACACAAATAATTTGGATTATGTAGTTTATCTAATGGTGCACATTTTGAACACTTATTGTAATTTTTTTTCGGTTCGTTTTAAATTATTCACTTTGTTAATTGTTTTACATGCACTTCATTGTTTAATTTAATTTCTGATTTTTTTAAAAATTGTTACTGAGTGAAAGGTTTAATAAAAATAACTGTTTCAGTCATATGCATTTTGTTTGCAAAAATTATCTACTACTAATACATTTAATATTCACTTTTATTTAAGACCTTTTGAATAATGTTTGAATTTACATAAGTTTTTGTAAAATTTTTTTATTTTATGCACGTCTCTAAAAAATACGTTTATTTCGAAAACGGTGTACTTTTTTGACTTGAAACAAGAATACCTTTTTTGTGTAGAATTAAATGTTATTTCATGTTCTTTTCCTAGAATGTTTATACAGGGCAGGAAAAAAAATTATGGCCCCATTAATGAACCAATGTTACAGTAGGTGGCGCCACCTAGTGTCATCGGTAAAACTAATATCATTTTTATATTAGGCATACTAAATAATAGCAAGATACCAAATTTTACTTAAATCGGTTAAATTGTTTTCAATATATCCCTAAAAATAATATAAAAAAATATTAATGAATCACCCTGTAGAACGAAAACTAGCAACATTTTGCCTAAGCAATTTGAGCTCAAACGCTTTATTTTGATGTCAGCTATCACCCATTAGCTAATGTCCAGTAAATTATGGGACACCCTGTATACTTTGAAAATCCTAATAGAAAAGACTAACGAATACAATCTTCCATTATGTCTGGCTTTTATAGATTATGAAAAAGCTTTTGATAGCGTAGAACTGTGGGCAACAAAAGAAGCATTAGTCAACAGCCGGATCGACTCCAGGTATAGAATATTAATGTATAATATTTACGAACAACAAGCTGAAATGATAGTAACGTTGGGTAATAGAATCGAAACAAGATCAGTAAAAATCAACTGAGGCATAAGACAGCGAGAACAATATCTCCAAAATTATTTACAGCTGCCCAATAAGATATCTTTAAGTCAATAGACTAGGAAAATAAGGAAATCCCTATTCCCGGAAGATACTTGAACCATCTTAGATACGCAGATGATATAGTACTAATGACCGACATGTGGAATGCACTGAATACGATGATTAGGGAGCTACACACAGAATCCCTAAAAAAAGACTGAAAATAAATTTCACAAAAACTAAACTAATGTCAAACAAAGCTGACAAACCTATGATAAACATCCAAAGGACAGAGGTAGAACACGTAAATGAATATACATATCTGGGTCAAAATGTCAAGGTAAGCAAAGAAAATCAGACTACCGAAATAAGCAGACGTGCAAAAATGAGATGGGTAGCACTGTAGCGTTTTAAATTTTCATAATACGTCCCTGTTCGTTTATCTCGTCAGTACGCATAAAGATTGCCATAAAATCTGTGTTTGTCTTATACGAAAATCTTAAATGCGTAAATAACGCTGGATATATTTTTTATCTATGTACTTTCAAATCTCATAACCTTTCGTTACAAAGTCAGGTAGAACTTAGGTCTAAAATTAGATTTAGGTCAGGAAGGGAATTATTTTGCGTTTTTGGTTTGAAATATAACGAAGGTTGAGTGAGGAGGTTGAGAAGAGTAATGAAAGAGGAAGGTTGAAAGACTTGGTCGAAGACATTATGTAGTTTTTGACAAAAAATGCCTGCAAAAATTTGTTGAATGTATTGAAATTTATTCTCTATAATGTGTCAGTTTAGAAAGGGTAATCACTACCATTTTGCAAGGTTTTTAAGAGATTTGTTGTCGCCTGGAGCAATTCTGATGTTCCAGTTTCCTGTTTTTTTAAAGTCCATTCTGAAGCTTGTATCTAGTACACATCTTTAAAATAATAAACAACTCTGAAATGGTTCTAATTACTTGGCGACGCTGAAAAGAACGAAATATTATTTGCAACAGGCGTATTTTTTACAATAATATGTACTCTTTCTATTCTTGCAAAATGTACACTAATTTCTCTTGGTAGTTGAATGCTCAAGGCTATTCTCTTATATTGGTTCAATTCCAGCAAATTTTCTTGCATAATTTCGGGTTTAATCCATTTGATCCCACGACATTTTTTTTTTTCGATAATACAATTTTTTTTTAAATGCCCTTGTTAGATCAGTGTTAAATAGTAACAATTCATCATTAGTTGACATACAAAAATTAAATTTTCAGCAAAAAGGAGGTGTACTCATACGAGTACAATGGGCTAATCGGGAGTAAAAAATTTAAAACATTGTTTAAAAATAAAAACATTCTATTGTCGTACAATACACATGAACGTTCAATACACAGAGTAACTTCACACTTTATTTAAATTTAACATACTCTTTACATTACTTTACATACTTCCATACATTTTTAGACTAATTGGTACAGATCCTTCTAGTCGGTTTCTAGAATAAGTAGATTTCCCAAAACTTCTTAAATAATGACGTACTACATCTCGTTGAAGAGCCAAAAGATCCATTTCTTTATTTTCAGCAAATATTTGTAACCTTCACTTATTAATAAGAGCTGAGTTAAGCATTTGGGTAAAAATGGGCCACTAACATGTTTTACCTTGTATAGTGACTCAGTAGTTATTAACCGATTGATCAAAGAGATCAACACTGCCCATTAAAGCATTGTATGATGAGAAAATTTTTGGTTGGGGGTACATCAATTTTTCATTTGGCAGCAGCACACCTACGATTAACTTTTAAAGTGGTTCAATACTATTGTAATTCAATGCCGTTGTGACTACATTGTTTCCTTCCATTTTACAAAAAGTAGTAGACTTTTTTGTCAAAGCGATATTCGAAATATCCACGATTCTTCTTTTTCATTACAACGCAAGGTAACAAAAGACATCTTTTTATACGATTTTCTCTTGTAGTGTAAAATAGTAGTAAACTAGTAAAATAATTGTGAAAAAATACTTCGTCGTCAGTAGGTACATCAACGACATCAAGCATTTTAGAACAACTTGTGATAATAAAGTCAACGCCGTGACTTTTGATTTATCTATTGATGCTCCACAATATGTGTCAAAAATTGTAGCAATAACCAGTTGAACTACAAAACATCCAGTTCTTGTACCCACATTTCACTGGCTTTTCCCTTATAAACCGTTTAGATGAGTGATGCTCAAAGTACATTATTATCGCTTCATCAATTGATATATGCCAAAATGTTGAAATTTTTTATATAGTTTGTTTATGAGAGGCCTCACTTTATAAATGCTGTCCCTTGTATCAATTTGCGAATTATCTGCCAAATGTAGGCATTTTTAATTTCTTGGAAATGGTTCCTTGAAATTGCATTTTTCAAAATTTCTTCCTCCAGTCAGATTTCTTGGTTTTATTTTGACCCTTCAGTAAATTTTCTCTTCTAATGGTCAGAGGAAGATTGTCTTCTTTGTCGTTATCAGAGTTATAACTCGTGTAATGAACCTCTATTTCTCCAGGAACGTCATTCGGAAAGCTTTGAGTCTAAAGATCATCCTCATCTATGTCCTCATTGTCAGTTTGATAGTCAGTTTCAGGAGGAATAAGTACTACCGATACATCTTTATGAATGGAACTCTCTAGGTCATCTGAAGCTAAAGCAAGACTTCTATAACGTTTTCCATAAAACGCAATGGGATTAATAGGCGGTAATTCTTGAAAGTCTATTCCAATATCAATATTGAACCTGAAACAATAAATAACCAAATAATCATTTTCATTTCATACAAACCCACTGTACTCAGATGAGTACAGGTCTATTTTGTAACATAAAAACAACAATAATAAAAAAAAATTTATACTGTATAAATAAACATTACTTAACTTAGTACTTAACCTTACAATAATAAAAGTTAAAAAAAATTATAAATAGTATCAAAATCACAAAATAACAAACACTTCAATGATCCAACAGAAATGTGGAGGTTAGCTTAAAATTACTGCGGCAAAAATTAGAAAGAAGAGCGTCACCTAGGATATAATCTATGTAAATCTAGTAGAACACTTCCTAATAGAATTGGACATATACGTAGAGTTCCACTTTTTTACCAGATGTGGCACTACTGGGCTATTTTTGCTGCTGTACTTAAACGAGTACAGTGAGACCAAATGGGTTAACGTGGTAAATGCATGTTTTCAGCTCTTTCCATCAAATGCTTTTTCATCTGCTGCAATGATAACTCTGTTAAAAAATGTCGTCTAGTGGGAGTACTATTTTTGTTAAGAGTTATGGAGTATAAAAACATTTACATCAGCTAGGTACATTCAGTATTCCATAAAATATGACCATAGGCCAGCGCGTATTTATTGCATAACTATATTCACCACGTAACTGATCGGCAGACTCTACACCTCCATTGTTCATATTATAGAATGTTATCATCATCTAAATTATTACTATTCCAATCAAAAGGTACAAATTTTTAATACATTTAAGTCACTTAATCAAGTATCATACTTAGAAACATTAAAATCCAGTTTTTTTATATTTAAATAATTTCTTTTGGGGATAACTTGTCGATTGAACCTACTTTGACCTTCAGACAATTTTCAACATATGTATTCATTACGATGCTATGCAAACCAAAATTTATAAAACTTAATTTTAGATATTCTTTGATAATTTTCTCCCATTTTCATAAATTTATCAATTTTTGACACATAGGGCCGATTCTTCGAACGCTAATCACAACTTGATTGTAATCAAATATTTAATTTCAATCAAATACGTCACAACAGCTGTCGAAATTATTAAAGTTTTTTTAATATTAATATTTACTTATAAATAAAAACACGAAATTAACATCAGAAAGAGTTTAATTATGGTTTATTTTAAATTCAAACGCACAATAATAAATTTAAATAAAATAAATCAGTCGACATAACCTCAAAATGTGACGTATTTGATTTTAATTAAATATGGGATTACAATTAAGTATTGATTATAGGGTTGGTTGTTCGAACGCTAATCAAAACTTATTATAATCAAATATTTAGTTACAAGCAAATACGTCACAGTAGCTGTCAAAATTAATAAAAAATTGCTAATTATTATAATTTATTTATAATTTAAAACATGAAATGACCATCAAAACGAGTTTAATTATGGTTTATGCTAAATTAAAACGCAAAATAATAAAATTGAATAAAATAAATCAATGAACATAACCTCAAAATGTGACCATTTAATTTAAATTAAATATTTGATTACAATCCAGTTTTGATTAGCGTTCGAAGAGTCGGCTCTTAATTTTCTAATAACATATGTCAATTGTCACTGTTGACACCTGTAACATAACCATTTTTTATCGGAAATTACCTGACGAAGTTTATAGAGGTTCATCGGTTATATTTTGAAATTATAATATAACCCCCGTTCTGAGTCTTGATGTATGTCAATATTTTTTATGTTAGTTAAATGATTTTTACAACTTATAACTTTTTTATTAATTTTTAGAAACAATGAGAAAGTACCCTGCTCTACCTTTCATGGATCGAACTCCCATCAACGATTATACATTTGAAGGTACAGATCTGACGATACCACGAAATATGTCAGTTCTAATTCCCCTTTTTGCGCTGCATAGAGATGAAAAAGTATATTCTAACGCTGAAACATATGATCCCGAAAGATTTTTAGATAAGCAAATTAATTCAGATGGACTCAGTTTTATACCATTTGGTGATGGTCCAAAAAATTGTATAGGTAAAGTTTTAGTTTTAATATTAGAAACCATGGGCATATGAGTCGTCTAGTTTTCAAACCCAACAAATTCACTTTTTATGAATATTGAGTAATTTATGTCAACTGATTTGTAATCTTGACCTCAATAAGTTTATACTAAACTTCCGATGCAAAATTCTCCAAGTCTAATCTTAATCTGCATTTGAAATATTGGGATAGTTTCAAAATTCAGCAAATCCAAGCACTGCTAAAATCAAATGCCAACAAATTCGACGCAACCAATGACAGTCAGGTGAGAAAGTGACGTCACTGCATGGCTGCTACAAAGAGAGCGCAAGATGTTTGTCACTGCTGTAAAAACCGTTAAAACATTTGGTTGTAATAGAAGTTTGTCTTAAAAGATTTGTGTTGTTTAAATAAAATAAAAAAAGATTTATTGTTGTATTCATCTCATCATGATAACTATGTGCAATAAATGTTATTTGAAATTACGTATTTTCAGAGTAATTACAAATGGTTTAAAATTTAGAAACATATCTTTTAACTAATAAAAAAATATGAATATAAGCTTAACTTTTATACCAAAACAGTTTTTTTGAATTTCCTAACTTTTGACCTCAGTGGATTTGTCGGGTTTTGAAATAAGACGACTCATATAATACAAGATAAACTGATGGTTGCAGTACCAGCCCGGTCCCCAATGCGACAGAAAAAACTGAGCCAAAGCAGCCACTGCATCTTTTTTTATCTATGCAGTTAATTTCTAGATCTAGCCTTATTACAGTACTGTCATTAAAAAAAAAATTCAATAAATTAAATAAATAACACACATTTATAAAACAACTACAATAAATAAAAATAATATTAATGACAAATATACAGAATTAAATAAAAACGGTTTGGTGCATTAGAAATGTAGAAAATTATTCCGTTTTGGATCCGTTTATGCTCTACTTTTGATGACAAAACCCTCAAAACTGCTGGGGGGTTTAAAGAGCAGTATCCTGGAAATATAGGGTCACTTTTGGAGGGGGTGTCGGAGAGGGCAAGAATTAGTGTAGTGTATTGTTGTAGGATGTGTTTAATGAAGGGACGTTTTTTCGCAACACCCTGGCAGTTTACAACACCTAATGAACTGTCCATTACATAGGCACAAAGGAGATTAACGCTTTGTTATTGTGTGTCACGGGAGTGCTCTTGTAGACAAATATCAGAGCTGAAAGTTGATTGGTGACATCTAGGATTAGCTGTTGCCTATGAGGGAGGAGGTTTATGAGGATAAGGAGGTAAACTCCATAAGTGCCTTCATGTCTAAAGACAGTTCATAGGAGGGAATTCTTTTTTCAGTTGTAATGGATTAGGTTTCAGGAGGTAGATTTGTGGTCCTGGCCACATGTCGGGCACCTGTACTGTTTCTGCGGGCACTCTGCGATGCTATGCCCGATTTGACCTCACTTGCCGCAATATTTAGGCATATGGAGTACAGGATTGGAATTTAGGGGGAGCTCAACGTGTAGTCGGAGTCCGTCAATGTCAATGAAAATGTCCCTGGTCAGCATCTCTGTGTATTTTAATTCCCTAGAGGTGACGAGTTTGACGAATGAGATAGGGAGGTTGGGCGAGATATAATCCGCCATAGCCGAACTACCGGGATGTCCATCTCTGTAAAGGTCTTTGTGAGATCGGCATCGGAGTAGACCTTGTCTTCACCATTGACGACTACGATGTATGTAGAGGTGGTAGGCCGAGTAGGGTTTCTGGGTATGAGTACTGGATGTAATCGGGATTTTAGGATCGCCCAGTGTTTCACGGTGCTTGCATTGTAACTTGACGTGATTGATGGGTTGGATAGTTATGAAGGGAGCAATTTGGCTTGGTAGAACCTTTACCGTCGAGATTTGATTTAACAAAAGCTCTCGGGTGTTGATGACTCTGAATGTCATGTTGTGTAGACTTCTTCAAAGGGATGTGTGCTATGGTGTAGTTAAATTATTTTGGTGTAATTAAATTATTTTGGTTGAGCGGGTTGAGTTCCTGAGGTAGAGGGGATGGAACGAGAGGGAGGGGGTTATGTTACCTGACAGTACGCTCATGTAATACTTCTGACTACCTGATTTTAATATTTATTTTCACTATTTGTCGGCAAATTTTAACAACGTTGCCGCATTGAAATAAGAATATTACTTTCGAAAAGGGTGACAATGTCCGCACCTGTTTCTCTCTTGACTTTCAGGTATACCTCAACGACACTGATAAGCTGCACGCGGTACTAAATAATAAATTTGGCAACAAGGCGAGTATTCTTTATCTAGTTCGGACTTATAGCAGATGTAATCGGCAAAAATGATAATTGAGAAGTAAATTTGTATGCTAATAAATAAATAAATATATAGCCGCTTACTATAGAGTGTTTCCAAACTACAAAATGTATGCCCTGACAATTCTATTTTATTTAGGGTATAAATGTATAAGTATACAATTAATTCCTAATTTAGAATATCCATCTTTGGTTTTCATGAAAAATGCACCCTATCATAGTGAAATACTGAATAAACAACTTTTCGCTAAATAGTTAATATAAGGCATTAACGATTGGTTAAAAAAATACAATGTTACTTTTTATTTACAGCTAAACGGCTGGGAATGGTAGTACTTTCAATGGCGCTATCAAACATCATTTTAAACTTCAAATTTGAAAGATGCAGCAACACTCCCGAGAAAATTGAGTTTGAACCAAAAAGTTTTGTATTGGCATCAAAAGTGGGACTTCCACTAAAAATAATTAAAATATAAGACAATCAAGTTATATAAACTATCTTTTATCTGTATATGTATGTATAAACTTGTTGAATATAAAAATTATAAACTAAAAATATAAACTTTTTTTTATTAACCCCACTTTTATGTATAGAATATTCTATGTAAAAAAGAGTGGACGTCATTCAAGATTTACGACGTCAGAACCCCACAATGTTAGCAAATCATCAGAACAGTTAATAAGCGAGGAATTTTCAAAATGTCAAATATTAAGGAATATACTATAGTTTGTTTTTTAACCGGTTCTATAAGCAATTGGTCATCATTTGTAAGAACCAAATCTAAGGTTTATGGCAAATTGTATATTCTGAAACGAGTTGGATTCATAATCAATTGGCGTAGATTCGAACTTTGAACAAAGGTTATGAAAATGTTTCTCGTATTTGTTAGGTCATTGCTTACAACTGGCAAAGGCAAAGAGATATCAGGTAAATTGAAGTCACCAAATAAGACAAGGTTTTCAAGGTTTGAAAGGAGTTCCATTTTTTTGATCAAGATTTGGCCATCTTCTAGACAGTACTACCTGGACGATATAGGCACGCCAAATGAATAACAAGTAAATTAAGAAAACATTTTTAAACATAAAAATTCAATATTAGGAACAACAATATCCAGATGAGCGACAGAAAAAGTTTCAGAAATTTCTAAAGACAGGTGTATGCACACTCCTCCCCCTCTTCGACTGCTGCGATCAAATCTGTAAAGAGAGTATCCATCTATGGTATATAAATTGTCAGAATCACTTTGTGTTAGCCAAGTCTCGGTTATTAGTAATTATTTTAGGTTTTAAATGCTGAATGTAACATAAAAGTTCATTAAATTTAGAATGTAGTGTAGCCAAGTTGTTATAAAATACAAAAATGTATTTTATTGCTAAATTTTGTTCGCCGTTTTCTTTTCTAATCTTTAACTCAGATCGCAAATCTTTTAAAAAGTTAACTTGCATTGGTGTCTTATCATCAACAATGGATACATTTTTTGTTTTTGCTTTTTTTAAGAGTTTCTTTTATTTCGCAGAATTTGTTTAACTTCATACTCATTACTCATGACCATTTTGATCATTCTAGGATATTTATTACCAACTTTGCCTACTCTAAAGAAAGTAACCGAGGTTGCGTCACATTCTACAGTCTGTAAAATTTCTTTTAAAAATTGTTTGTCTTGATCTTTTTTAGTTTTAATATCACCTGTAGATTTTGGTACGCCTCTGACAATAACATTTGTGGCACGATTGATACGATCGATGGCTTCATTGGTGATATTTTCAGTAAATTGTGGTGACGAATGTTGGTCAGTAGGTGATAATTTAATTTCAAATTCATTGAATTTCTTTGTAACGTCAGCAAGCTTTACAGCTATTTGGCTAATTTTTATTTGCAAATTATCATTATATTCCTTAAGTATTGATTTTAAATTTGAAAACGCTTCAATATTGCTTGAGCAGCCGTTACAAATAATTTTAATTTCTCGCACCTTACAATACTACTATACAGAGCAATATATTATTTGTTTTTTATTTATAAACTATTTATTTTAAAAGGAAGCCCTACTTAAATTCTTGTAGCCATAATTTTAATAAATATGTACGTTTATCTGCGTCACCTAACCTTTTAAGATATAAAAAAGTAATTGAATACTCGATTTCGTAAACAAATTATTAATGTATTACATTTGCATATTTTTTGTCTAGACCTGTAATTTTCCAAACAACGCACAGTAGGCATATAAATTTAATAAAGTTAATAATAGTAAACAAATATATTTAATCCTTTTCTATCTTACGCTGTGGAATTAAGGGAATTAGTGGCAATTGTCCAAGATTTTTTATTATAGACAAGAAGAAACGATGGGATTCGTTCAGAAAATTATTGATCTTACCGTTCTCTTTGAACTTTTTTATTAAGGGTGTATACACTTAAATACTTCAGTTTTTTAATCTTATACCATATTAGATTAAATATGGTTATAAAGTACCAATTAACTTGGTAGCTAAACTAAGCTAAGGTAAGCTAACTAAAGTGCTTGATACTAGTACAGTATAATAACTGTAGTGAAGTAGGTAGTGCAGCAGTCATCGAGATTTATTGTAAGTTATCATAATCATGTTGCCATGATCAATGCGTGTTGACTTACGGTGCGAAAACGTTGACCATGATAAGGAGAATACTTCAGAAGATCCGTGTGTGTCAATGGGCGATGGAGCGTGCTATGTTGGGCGTTTCACTACGAGACAAGATCCCAAATCGCCAGCTACGACAAAGAAGTGGCTGATGCAGTAGAGAGAGTAGCAACACTGAAATGGAAATGGGCAGGTCACGTAGCTCGAATGATAGATAATAGATGGACAAAACAGATACTGGAATTGAGACTAAGAGATGATGCCTACCGAAGCAGATGACGTCCACTAACACGTTGGACTGACGATCTAAAACTTTGTCATAGGAATTGGATGTAAGAGGCACAAGATTAAAATAGATAGAAAATTATGAGGGAGATCTATGTCCAGCAGTGGATAAGCAAAGATTGAATGATGATAATGATCATAATCATATTACCTTTAATTATCTGGGCGAATAATATGCTATATAATTATATTACCCAATCCAGGACGAATCTGCGTCGACCATTTTGTCACAGGTAGTTAAGGTTAACTACCGATTTAGCAATTTAATTTAAAGAACATTTAATATTTTAATACGAACTTTCAATAAGCTATTAATAACTCCTCATTAATAATTATTACAAACATTTAATTCTCAGTAAGATCAGTTGTTATCTGTCATATTGTTGTTGTGAGGATAAGGAAGGCACAAAGAGCGATGGAGAGACAAATGTTGGGTGTATCACTTAGAGATAGAAAACGTAACCAGTGGATCAGAACCAGAACAAATACAGTAGACGCGATAGAACAAGCAGCAAAACTGAAATGGAAATGGGCTGGACACAATGAACGTCTCCAATACGGACGATGGAACAATGCCATCGGAAAGTGGCGTCCATACAATGCAAAGAGATCAAGAGGCAGACCACAGATGAGGTGGAAAGATGACATCGGGAAACAAGGAGGTCCCACATGGCAGAGAACAGCTCAAGATAGGGAAAGATGGACAGAACTGGGGAGACCTATATCCAACAATGGAAGGATAGAGAATAGGTTAAAAAAAAAGGTCAGTTGTTAATCAATAAACAAGAGTGCGAGACAGACAGTTAACTTAAAACCAAGTGCGGGTTGGTTTAATATTTATAATTCAGAATTCTAGTAATCTTGTGGTATTCTTGTGAATTTAAATTTAATTAATTTTGTTATTTGCTATAATTGTTATTGTTTTTTTATCTTTTCTTTTCGACGATTTCTTGTATCGGTTTTGGTTAAATATTTTTAAATGTTATTAGGCTTTCTTCGCTGATAACTTAATTTGTGCATTATTTTATTATATATTGTATTTGTAAAGGTATTTCTTATTTATAATACTGTTTATTTCTATATGTATACCACTATTTAATAATTGATGGTGCATTTTTTTACTTGAGTTTACATTCAGATTTAAAATCATCAGATTTATCCAAATTTAATCGTGTTGTTGAATATATTGTTTAGTTTTATCAGTGAATTTTGTTTCTTCAACTCATCATAAGTTTTCTGGTAAAATAATACCTATGAACATTTGTTTATTATATTACATTATTATTGTACCTTTGACCAGAAGAATGATCAGGCTAATTAAGTTTCATAGGTAAGTAGGAGGACGAAGTCCACCTAATATATTTTTTATTTGTGTAGGTAGTGTGTTGACCAAATTTGTTTGATATTAACTATTGATATCTTTTCTTGGATTTGGTCTCAGAGCCTAAATATCTTTCCTCTTAACTTATTTCTTTTCTAAGACTTTCTTAATTTTCTCCTTAAATCCCAAAAAGTTGCAGCGTCTTTTTTCTATCTTATCTTATATTTGATAATTTTACCTTATCTATCTTTTTGTTTATTTCTGTATCTTTTTTAAAATATTTTATCCTGTCCTATCTTTACTTATTTTGTCCGTTGGACCCTTTCCCGGTTCCAAAATCTAGTTTCGAACCCACGACTCACTCTCCACCAACCATCTGGCTTCCATCCGCAGTGTCTCCTTTGGTGACCTTTCTAACACCATCCAAAAAAGGTTTCCGAGAATACAATGTTACGAATGCTGATTTTAGCCAGTCTGATGGTATTGTTCCTGTGTCATATATCTTATTCAATAGTGCTGTTATTAAGTCGAGACTTATACTTTCGTTGTCTGCAATAAATTTACTTATTTCGATAATAATATTGTCTGAAAGGGCGACTTTTCCGTTCGTCTGAGCTTTTACTGCATAAATAATTGTTTCTTTTTTATTTTTTGATATTTTTCATTTATTCGATCATCCGTGGATGGTGGAAGGTTTACCATCGTCAAAAAGAGTCTGAATGTATACTTTTCATCTCTTCAGTTTGTCTTCTGTACCTATAATTGTTTCGTTATTACTATTTTGTAATATTGGTTTTTGAAAGAAATGATGCTGAAGAAGAAGAAGGAAGCAGATAGGCAGATAGCCGAAGGATGGAGGCAGATAGCCGAAGTAACCAAAAATTGTTTTACAAGGCACTAAAGACGCTAAGAAAAGGTGAAAAACAACGATGAAACAGGTGAAACGTAAAGACGGCACACTGATTACCAGACCAAATGAGATTATGGAAAGATGGAGACAATAGTTCAGCGAACTCCTAACACTAAGACAGAAGAAAGAGGAAACTGTAATGATAGAAGTAGAAGAGAACATGGACAAGAAAATTGTATTCAAATAGAAGAAGTTAAAGAAGCAATTAACAACACAAAGAGAGGTAAATCGGGTGGTCATGACAAAATCACTGCAGAAATGTTAAAGACAATGGGACCGAAAGAAGTTGAATTTTTAACCAAAATTATGAAAATTGCTTGAAAACTATGTATAGTCCCCGA